CAAATAGCATGTGGTCAAGAGAAATTAAGATCAAGAGGACTTTAATTTCTCTGTGCCAAAAGGACTTGAGTCATCCTCGCAATCAAAAAACTGCATCTCCAAGTCTGGAGCATAGCTTAGATTACAATTATCCATCCAGAAAACTTTCCAGAATTATGCAATGTCATAACTGCTGAAAAAGATAATTGCTTTCTTTTGAACAGGTATCTCCAGGGGCTTTACTTGCCTACAAGTAGAAAAACAACGATGGCATCATTTTTCTGTGGCATTTACTCTAAGAAGGCACAGCTGTTGATTACAGAAAGGTTAAAAACTTGTCATGTGCTGTACCAGACTAACTTGCAAAAGGTCCCCAGTCCCCATAGTTGCTTGAACTGCACACAATAGTCTATAATACCAATTGTGTAAATATGATCATCTATCTTCACCTATAGCATGTTAGAAAGTATGGCTTACTCTTGATAGGCTTCAACTACTACTATATATTACAAGATAAGTGATTCTTTGTTTTCTTTAATGTATTTGGTTCAAATAGGCTGTAAGCATACCCTGTATTCTGCTCATCTAAAAATAATGGGTTGGATCCAGTGCTGGTTATGTGCCAGAAGAACAGAATGGATTCCCATCACACCTGGGGTACCTATGTGCGGCCATTCCAACAGTGGCAGAATCCACTCCTTCGAACAAGGATCTCCCAAAGCCATACAGATTGTAGCGATTCACTATGCATGGAATTCTTGGATAGTAATTGGCTGGTTCTAATGCTTTACTTTTGGATTGGGAAGAATATATGGATTCCTTTGATGCTGGATTTTAGCATGACCCAAGCTATTTTTAAGGTTGAATTTTTTATTAGCAAAGTAGAAGCTCAATAGTGGTGTTCTACAACTAAATCATTTACTGGTTTTTGTGACATCAAGGGAAAGCATGACTTGCTAGTGTTGCAAAGCATGTGCTGTTCTTAACTGGAGTGTCATTTCAGTTAATTTTTATGGGTGGTTCAGAAAATATCCTTTGCTGTAACTGGCACAGATGATGATTGTGTCAATAGTGAGATGAATGAAATGTGGGGAGCTAATTAACTTGATGTCTTTCTAAGAGTCACTCGATGAAGAATCTTTCTAGGCCCACCAGATGACAGAGATGTTCACATATTGATATGCATGCTGCAATGGCTGATCAAACTTATTTGACATAAAATGAATCATTAGTTAGCATAACTGGAAGCTCTTCTCTCTTCTTAGTCCTTAGAAAAGTGTCCTGTCCTGACTATAAGCAGGAGCCCATGAGGTACCACAGATGCCCACGGATGGCTTAGGCAGATGGTGGCAGGAGCTTTCTTGGGCATCGTCTAGAAGTCCCTGGATGCCAGACTGCCTCTCCCAGGCTTCACCCCCTTCTTGAAGATTGGTGAGCCTCGAATGGGTTGCAGGAATCCTGGCCTGGAGTCTAGCACTCTGCCACTTCTGAGTTGGCTTCTATCATGTGCCTAACCTGCCATGGAGAGCAGGCACCAGCAACTGTGAAGTTCTGATACACAGGAGGGCAAATGCCTCAAGGAAATCTGGCCCAGAAGGCACCACATTCAGGGGTCTTGTTCAGTGGATTCTGGTTCAGGGGGCTTTTGGCTCACCAGCTCCAGCTCAGTGCCAGGGCCTGCATCTCCTCAGCTTGTACAGCTGGTGCTCCTTTTCCAGCTGGTTCCTTTTCCCTGGCTGCTGACTGTGGTCATGACCATGGGTTTCCTATTGGTCGCAGACAACCACTATGGAGGAACTGGTGTGTGTATGTGTGTGTGGTAGATTATAAAGTGGCCATTAACCACCAGCATCTTCAGCCAAGCATATCCTCATGGCTCCACCGTTGATTCCCCCAAACTCCATGAAAACAATACTTTACAATATAAAGTACTGTTTGCATATACCTGGAGCAATTCCTGTACATGTTTATGACTTCTGTTTGTAAGTGCTTTGGATAAATCCAGCCACTCAGTCCTCCTCTAAATGTATAACAAGCTGTTTTGCTCCCTGTCACTTTGAATCCATCACAGACCTCTTCACTGGACTGGACTGGCCCTTGTTGCTGGAGTGGCTTGGGGCAAAAGGAGCTCAGATCCATGGTCAGTTCCATTCCTTTCCTTAATTGCTTGGAAATGAATGGATGGATGTGGTAAATTAACTCTGTAATTTTAGACTCTGTCATTTGACAGCACCTGACAGTTCTGAGGTCACAGTAATTACGGCCAGTGAGTTGCCAGTGATCCACAACCTTGATTTGCTACCTCCAATCAGCCCCCTAATGAGGTTTAAGTGCTATAGCATTTGTGGTTGGTATGACGACTGGACAGCTCTTATTAGGATAATTTCTTAGCTAATGTCTTTACTGCTGCCTGATCTCCATCGGATTCAGAGGACCTGAGTTAATATGAGCAGAAGTCAAAGAGACTGGTTCTACATGGCCTTACTGGAACTGCTTATGAAGTTTCAGGAACTGTGTGGGGTTTTTCCCCAGCTAGTATCTAATGCCCTAGCCTAACTCTTCCAGTGCTTAAAACAACTTTAAGATAAAGAAGAAAACCTGTGACTTAATAAGCCAGGATGCTTTCTTGCATCGGGATCTAAAAATGATACAGGTGTTGTGATGGAAATGCCAATATACTACATGCTTGTGGATTTGTGTACTTTCCAAATAGTAATAAAAAACCTAAGGAGGAAGAGGGTGACCTCAGCAAACTTACAGAAATATGTATGAGCTCTGTTGAAACCAGGCTAGAAAGACAGGACAGAGTTTTTCTGAAATACTTTCCTATATACATGCCGGGCAACTTAGCAAGTGATGGTGAATGCATTACATCTCTGGCCAGCATGGTTAGCTGTGGAGAAAATGCCAGAGCGTCTCTCCTGACTTAAATTTAGCTTGAATCTATACTCAACACCTGAGGCCTTCCCTCAAGTGCCACCACTGAGGGAGGCTCAGCTGATGACAACAAGAAAGGCGGCCTTCTAAGTGGTGGTCCCCTGATTATTGAAGCATCTCCAAACTGAGGCCTACCTAGTACCAACTCTGTTTTCTGTTTTGGCACCAGGTTAATACTACCCTCTATGCCAAGGCACTCAGTAGCATTTAATGCTTTTGAATGGCATACCAGGATTTTAAATGGTTTTAAACTCCATTTTAAATTTGGTATTGGGATTTTTTATTCCTGCATTTGTAATAAATGGAACTACATGCTACATTTTATGGTATTGAATATGTTCTTATGAACCACTTAGAGTGCTTTGGATATTGGGCAGCACAGAAATACTACTACTACTACAGAGGAGTATAAAATGTGTATCCCTTCACGCAGTTCTTTCGCTCTTGCTTCATTCCTACATTCATGCAAGCAGTGATAAAGACGTGAAGCTGCAGGGAACGATTCCTTCCTGATACATGAAAACTTAAAGGCTTCCAAACATGCCTGGGTTCAGAAGCTACGCGCACCTTGAAACCATTTCTTCTCCACATGCATGAAAGGAGAAGGAAAGCAGCTGCAAAAGGGCTGCCTGCAGGTGCATCAGACACAGACATATCCTACCTTCTTAAGGGCACGATCCTGTGGCTTGTGCCATCCTTGATTAGAAGCCCCTGAGCTTGGAAGCTGCCGAGATCCCTGTGTCCTGCTGGGCCACAGCTGGCACTGTAGGAAGGGTGGTGGCGGTGACTGTGATCTTTGCTTCCCAGTCTTCTGCTCTTTGCCTTTTCACTGGAAAGGCTTTTCCGCAGGCCTGGAGGGGGCGCTTTGGAGAGGTCAGGAAGGCGGCTGCAGGAAGCTCTCCAGTCCTCCCTTCCCCACCCACCCACCTGCCTGCTCCCCTGTCCTCTTCTCTGAGATCAGGTTTCCAGCCTTGGAGAGGCAGGCTCCGTGGCTCTCAGTGTGGGAGGGAGGGTGGACCCTGTCACCCTCCACCCTTCTTGCGGATCCTTCCTGTGATTTATATCGAAACTAATGTTTCCTCTCCCATTCTACCAAGAGTTGTGCAAAACTTGAAAGCATTCATAATGCTAACTCAGCAGAACCAGATTCTAAAGAACAATGATTTTGTGTTCCTTCATTTGAGGGAAGGAAAAAAGAACTAAAACTTACGGTTTCTGTATATGCACAATATCCATGTATTAACTACTAATAAGACAGCTTTCTTTTTTTTAGAAGTGCCTGTTCTCTGATGGAGATTCTATGTATATATATGAGAGACTGTGGAATAACAATATTATAGCATGACCCAGTGTGGCTGCCTGTAACCCTCAAATCCTTCTGGGCATCCTATGGCAGAAGGAAGGAATGCAGAAGCAAAGGTTGTCTCCATGCTTTCTCCCTGTTAGGTGGTTGATCTCAGCGACCTGAACCTTTTTCCTGGCTTGTGAGGAGTGCAGGTTGAGGCCCCAGTAGGATGCCTTCCATCCTGGTAGAACTTTTCTCCTTCCCACCCCCAGAAAGCACCCCCCCCCCCGGCTGTTTCAAAGGTCGGTCCTTTGTCCTTGGAGCTGCAGCCAGTGTGGAAAGAAACATGCTGGCTGTGAGAGCAGATGGAGGGTGCGATAGGGTGAAGTTCCAGCTCTGATCTCCAAATATGTTGCCGAGGTCAGAGCTGGAAGTCCAACCTTTCCTGTGGCTGCCAGTCAGTACCTCCAAGCCATGGGAATAGATTCTTAATGAAACCAATATTGGAATAAATTGCATTTTGTTGTAATGATGACAAATCATTATTCTTGGTATTAATTATTATTAAAGTAATGCTTTCTGGAAGATAATTACACTGACAGCCAGTGCGGTGTAGTGGTTAAGAGCTTGGGTCTGGGACTCAGGTGATCTGGGTTCTAGGCCCTGCTCAGCTTTGAGTTCTCCTCTGCTTTGAGTTCTTTAAAAAAAGAAAAAATGAGGGATATAGATCTAATAAATAAATGAATGTATTGTGAAATGTCCAGTGCTTTTGTTTTAATATCTTTCTTCTTCTTTACAGTTACGTTTGACCATTTTGAAATTTTGAGAGCCATTGGGAAAGGCAGCTTTGGAAAGGTAAGTTTTTGTTGATGATGTGCTATCCAAGCAAATATATCCTTAAAAATAACAGTGCAAACAGCAAATAAATGGGGTTGAAAGAATATTTCATTGTCAGTGACTGGGAGCTGAACCTTATCTTCCAAAGAGCTAGAAGAACTGAGGCCTTGTTCCTTGTATGCTTTGAATCATCAAATCGTATTACAGGATATTAAAGGGTTCTTATTGATATACCAGAGCTGCAAGATTGATATGTAAACATCCAGGAAAGCGAGATGTTCCGCTGGAGCAAATGAGGACATGCTGGCACTCTGCCTATTTTTCTCTTCCTCCAGCCCCTCCCCCCTCACTTTGCTCTTTTGATGGTGTAAGGGAAATAGCAAGCTCAGTTTTTAGGAGCCGTGCTGGACAGCCCCTACGCCCTGGGGTGGCAACTTGTGTCCTTGAGCTTGATTTCAAAAGCCATTGGCAAGTAAGCCGTTCACATCTCAAGCAAGAACAATTTGCTTTCCCTTTTCTGGCAGCCCACTGGGGGAAGAGCAAGGCAGGGAGGAGGAGTGGCAGAAAGAGAAAGAAAGCAGGGTGGCAGAAAGAGTGGAGCAGTGGCAAAGAGAGAGGGAGAGAAAAGGGCCGCCGCAGCCCTTTTCGGCTCTAGCCCTGCCCCCTTCTTGTTTGGTGTCACCCATGAGTCACACATGGCCCTTGACAGGTCGCCCCCAAGAGAAGGCAGCCCTCAGCACCAAAGGGAGTGCCCACCAAAACAGAGCTGGACGTGTACTTAAGAAAGACATTTTCCAATTTTATCTTGACATTTAAGGGCCTGTATTCTGCATCTGGAAACTGTTAGGGCATCCTGTGCAAAATTGCAAGGAAGCACAAAGTGCTATGGTTGTTGCTTTGCATAGTGAAGGCTAAGGGGGGAGAGAGAGAGAGAGAGAGAGAGAGAGAGAGAGAGAGAGAGAGAGGGGGGGAGGGAGGGAGGGAGGGAGGGAGGGAGGGAGGAAGGAGACCTCCGAGTACATGGGTAAACGACTTTGAGATCAAATCATCAGAGCATACAATCCATGTGTTCCGGAGAAGGGCAGGGTCTGCGTAGGTGAGACCGCAACATAGCCATGTATTATTTTTTGACAATTGCTTGGTTGCGCAAGTTGTTCCATTTTTGTAGTATGACTCTTTTCTATGTTCCGATTTGTTTCTAAAGGTATGCATCGTCCAGAAGAATGACACCAAGAAAATGTATGCAATGAAATATATGAACAAGCAGAAATGTGTGGAGCGGAATGAAGTGCGGAATGTCTTCAAAGAGCTACAGATCATGCAAAGCTTGGAACACCCTTTTCTTGTGAACTTGTGGTAAGCAAAGCACATTTCTTATGAGCGCAAGCTTGCCAGAGTACTGTATTTCCCTGAAGTGATATGACTTTGACTCCTTAGGAAACCCAGTTCTATTTGATGTGCATGATTTCAAACCCCGCTATTACGCTTGCCTCTCCAACTTTCTCACATCCTTTTTCTGTTCATGTAATCTGGTTTCTTGTACGTGCCCTTTAAGAGACTCAACAGGCATTCAGGCTCACGTCTTAGGCAGGGCATTGATAATAGAGCTTTTGTTTCATTCCTTTCAGGTACTTGCTGGTTTCAGGCAGCAAAGCAAGCATGCTGCTTGGCTTTACCTCTTTTGTGGTAGCTTTTGCAATGTTTTGGCCAAATGGCAGATGTGCTAGATCGAGCATTGGGACTATTTCAGCTGGGAAACAAATGTTGGTAACAAGACGGCTTAATTAGACAGAGAAATGGTTCCGCATGACAGGAAACTCCCTGCACATAAGTAATATGGCACCTTTTGGGGAACACTAGAACACCTGCTAGTGTTCCACAGTAATGTGGGGGAATATTCAAGTATTTTGTCCTCTGTTTGCAATCTGAAATGGTGGGAATATAAGGCACGGCAACTCATTTGTTTGCATGTTTTATTTTAAGAGATTTTCAGAATTAAAATGTTCTCTCAAAGCAGTTTACAATCAATCCATTACGAATGAATACTGATTATTAAGCACCAAAACTTTTTTTAAAAAAATCCATAACTCTAATGACTAAGAGAGGGAGCATAAAAAACCCATGCATCAAGATCCCATCATAGACACCAATCTGAATCACTGCAAACCAAGAGCAAAAGTTAGAACAGCACTACATCAAAGGAGCACTGAGCCAAAAAGTGACTTCAGAGCCATTTGGAAGGGAAGCAAAGAGGGGGCCAAATGTATCACTTTATGATCTGCACAAGAATGTAGAATAAGCAGGATGGGCTCTTTGATTGGAATTTCTGGTCTGTTCAAATATTTTATCATTTCGTACGTTATGCTAACACACTGTACCTTTGAAGACAGTTCAACTATTGCAAAATGCAGCTGCGTAGGTGCTTATAGGAAGCCCTTCCCACAGACCAGTCAGCACAATTGGATTAGTGGCTACATGAGATGGTAGTGACACTCCGTATTTGGAACATCCTCCCCGAAGAAATACATTTGGCCCTGTCCTTGTTTCCATTTACAGAGACCCTGGGGAATTTTTAGTTTACCACTGGACTGATGCTTTGTCGTTCTGCTCTTTCAGTTGCTTGGAAATGCATTTTTGGAACATCATTTTTCCTGGCATGTTAAGAAAACAAGCCATGGTTTGCCACTTGAAATTCATAGAAACATAGAAGCAGAGCGAGTCAGAAGGGGCCTCCCAGGCCATCTAGTCTGACCTCCAGCTCCAGCCGGCTCTGCTCACGACATGCCCACCATGTGCATGTCCAGCCTATCTTTGAAATTCTGCAGCACAGCAGGAAATATGGAAAAACTGATGTGGGGGTGCTGTACCTCCAAATGACTGAATTTTGGTGGCAAGTTTGCTGGTGGGGACAGGGTTACAGTCTCTATGGAGAACAGGGAATGAGTTTGCAGACCCTCAGAGGTTGTCCATCCCTACTTTATGGTTTAAGTATTTTTACTGTACCATTTTAAGTGATTGCTTTTTAATTGATGCTTCTTGACAAGATTCGGGTCTCAAAATGGCATATAAATATTTTAACTGAATACATCTGAAAGATATTAAATATCTTCACTGTTTCCATGTGACCTTGAAGGGCATATTTCACTAGCATTCAAACTAGTACAGCTTGACAGCATATTCTTAAAATTTCAGTATTAATGGGAGTGCTGTGACAGCTGATTTTAGGAAAAAAAAGTTTACCCCATTAAATGGTCCTGGAAATTAGCCACGATCTTATTTGATGCCACTTTCCTGTAGAACTTTTTTTCCCCTCTATCTCTCTGTATTCCAGGATTCATTTTGTGCTGCATCCAATCTGGCTGATACTGCTTGAACTAATGTAATGATACAAATCTGCAGTGACTAATTGTGTGCACACACACACACACACACACACACACACTTACTTCTAGAGGTCAGTGCAGCACTAAAGTTCATGGAGTAGTGAGGAGCCTAGAAAGGGAAGGAAATGCAGGCATTCAGCCATCAAATCCATTTGTCTTTTCTGTGGGTTGCTTGACACCCACAACAGCGGCTCAGGGGGTGCTACAAAGATGGGAATACCACAAGAAAAGGCACAAGGGGTCAGCACTCTATCCAGCACTACAACACTGGGCCGAAATCGGCAGCTGCACTCCCAAGATCGAGAAACGGATGCTCGGCTGAGTCTCACTGCATGCCTCCTCTTCTCCTGCAGCCTTCAGTGGAAGGCTTCTTCTTTGCACAACTGCTTTGGAGTGCAGGAGCAGCCGAAGCAGAAGCGTCCCTTTGGGATTTTATGGCTCAGTCCATGAATGTCTTCCTCCTGTCTTCTAAGCCACTTTGTGATTATAAGAGCTACCCTAGCTTTCGGAGCTAGGTCCACAGATAGTGTGAAACTTCCCGGTTGCACTTCTTATCACCAAAGATGAAGATATTATGTTTGGCATTTATATTGCACTTTTGCAGTGATAAGTTCCATTGTGTTCAGTGGGGCTTAGAAGATTGTTGGAGGCTTCAGGGCTTTAAAGCCTTAGTACTGATGCCTTTGAGCAGAAGGTGGATCACCAGACGTTATTGCCTTCAACATCCTTCTGACCATTGGCCTTGCTGGCAGGAACTTCGGGAGTCCAGAGCACCCGAAGGCCTTTGGCTCTCTTTGGTACTGCATATGTTATATTCTTGCACTCATTGCAACAGTCCCATAAAATGGGCCAATTTTATTATACCTACACTGCAGATAGGAGGGTGTGTGTACTTAATTTCTTGCCTAAGAATCTACTGAATGATATGTGAACTAGGAAAGGCTGGCTTATAGTGCATATTGCTAATCTCTACATTCTTATTTGGTTTGAAAAACAATGAAATGCTCCGCATTTATTGTGGAAAACCACACAGACTGGCACAAGATATGTTGCTGTCTTAAAGCAGAGTCCAATCCAACTGCAATACGACCAGTACTTTAAAAGCCCCAGCATCATTCTTCAGATACCTATTCCTGCTTTTGTTTATTCCAGTGGAGGGTAACTTCTTCCAACCCAAGCGCCAAATTCAGTTTTGGAGAGACTGGGTGAGGACTGCAGAGAAAAGGGCTGGGGCCCCAAGAAAAAATAACAGCATGTTTTAGCTGAGTGCTCCTAGTGTCAGCAACCAAGCCTCAGGAGAGGTGCTGTAGCTTCTTAGAGTAGGGGGAAGGCTGCACAGAAGAAAGCCCCAAATGACTGGGAGCTGGCAGAAGGGGAACCGGAGCAAGAGAAGTGAGTGCCACTTTCTGGGAAACCTTGAAGAATTGGGTTGGTCTCTGATCAGCCTTTGCCTATTCTAAACTCCAACCCCATGGTGCTGCCTGCAGCATTAGAAGATGCCTAGATGAAAGGGGTTTCTTTCTTTGAGAGTATTTGATGAGCACAGCCTTCTAGACTGCTGCTTTTCAATAACTTACTATCAGTGCTGGCATCAAGCAGCATGCTGAGAAGACCTATTAATCCCTCAATTTTTCTTTGACGTAGTGTATTTTTCCCACCAGTGGCCTTGAAACAGGAACGATGAAATAAGCTTTCGTTGCCGATGAATATGGAGCATAATGCTGTAAAAGCCTCAGTGATGTTTCATTTAACAGAGACTCAGATTATTGTAGGATTTATTGCTTGTTTTCAGGTGGTTTTACTGCCAAGGCATAGGTAAATAATGTGTAGCAAAAATGCTTTGTTGAGGGGTGATGATAATGACACAGATCTCAGTGCCTCAGGGATAAGATATCAAATTCAAAGACTACAGGAGGAAGAAGGGGAAAAAAATCACTATTTGTTTAATTTACTATTTGGTTTCTTTTGAAATGTGCACCTTGCCTTTGTTTTGACCAAACACAGAAGGTGGCTAACTAATGTGTATATAAAATACATACAAAGCCAGTAATAAAAGTAAAATATTAAAAAAATCAAACAACTACAACTCTGCTGAGGAAATACCAAAGAGAACCAGGAGAAAGAACAGGAATAATCGTGGAATGATCAGTCTCCCCTGTGTCCCCACCTCTAAGCAGCTGGCAAGGTTCACTTTCCCACCCTGCTTCCCTGGACCTCCAAATCTGAGGGCCGCACACTGGACACAGCACACGACAACCCCAAATGGAGAAAAACAGGTAAACACTATAGGGTTGGAGGATCTTAAAACACTACATGTAAAACACACACACAGCAGTGAGGGAAGGGAAGGGAAGGGAAGGGAAGGGAAGGGAAGGGAAGGGAAGGGAAGGGAAGGGAAGGGAAGGGAAACTAGGAGAATAGCAATTCACTAGACTATTTAGCTCCCCACAAGACCCCCAGGCCAGTTGGCCTCCTTGGACTAAAAATAGCAAAGCTAGCTGTTCTTACCACTAACAAAGTATACAATACCCACATAGCCTTCTTCCTTGCAGAGCATCCTTTGGCAAAGCATCTGACAGCAACAGGGAACCTCTCATCAAAGAGGAACCCCGCCTGTCTCAGCTCCCTGCTTTTTACCCCATTCAGTCAACCAGGTGACAGCTCCTGATAGTACCCAGGTGAGAATGACATCCCTTTAGGCCTGCAACCTCTGGCCTTGTGGAGCATGAATGGCTCTGTCCTTGGAAGTAATTTGCAGCATCTCAAGGCATTTTGCATTCCAAGTGCTATCAAGCCTCCCCCAGCCTTGGCACCTCACTTTCCTTCAATCGCCACCTGGCCAGAGCGACCAAGCCTCTGTACCCAGGGTTAACCTTCCTTAACTGAGGAGCCTTCAACCTAAAAAAGTTGGATAACAACAAGCCATGATTTCCCATCATAAAAGGAAACCATGGTCTATGGTAAGTCTCAGTC